AAATTTACTATTTTAATGGTATTGGTGGTGATAAGAAACATTATCAAGGTACAGCTAACACTGCTGTAAAGCTACTAAACAACGTGCAAATTCATGTGCAGCCAGCTCTTTAAAAGTATTTAGACATTGGTGTGAAGTTAACCATGACTGAATTCTTTCAAAATAGATATTTTAAAGGGTATCTAGATAATGGGTGATTTTTAAAGAGTAGGATAGGAATTCTACAACGTAACATTCAAATATTGAGAAATATCAGTATGATCATTTAAACTTTAAGTTATGTATTTTCTTGAATTCCGATGACATCCATGGTCTGTTTCTATTATTCCTTTGATTAATCCCAGTGAAGAAGCTTATTGTGCCAGGTGGATTTGTTTTCCTTCAAACTAGGAAACTATTCTTTGTTTTTTTTTAACGGATGAGCAATATCTACTATTTTGAACAATGCCTTTATTTGTTCTTTGTACTCTAGCTGACCTGTAGTTGACCTTTTTTAAAAGTATTTAGACATTGGTGTGAAATTAACCATGACTGAATTCTTTCAAAATAGATATTTTAAAAGGTATCTAGATAATGGATGATTTTTAAAGAGTAGGATAGGAATTGTACAACTTAACATTCAAATATTGAGAAATATCCCTATGATCATTTAAATTTTAAGTTATGTATTTTCTTGAATTCCAATGACATCCATGGTCTGTTTCTATTATTCCTTTGATTAATCCCAGTGAAGAAGCTTATTGTGTCAGGTGGATTTGTTTGCCTTCAAACTAGGAAACTAATCTTTATTTGTTTTTTTTCAACAGATGAGCAATATCTACTATTTTGAACAATGCCTTTATTTGTTCTTTCTACTCTAGCTGACCTCTAGTTGACCTACTTTGATTCAAATTTACCTCTTTTGCCACTATCATCACCATATTGTACATTATAGTAGTTTCTCATCTGGATGACAATCATAGTTTTACCTTGTTTCTTTGTAGTATTTGGATTTCCAAGTTAGTTCAAACTGACACTGCAGCCAGAGCAGACTTTAAAACCCAAATGTGCTTATGTACTTTCCTTGTTAATTAAGCCCTTCAGTTTCTCTTAAGATAAAGATCAGAATTCTTTGATGGTCTGCAACGCCCCATCTACTAGAGAAAAATATATAAAACATGAATTCCAAATAAATAACACTTCCTGATGCTGTGCAGCTAATGGTTGAATTCACTATTAAATAGATTAAAAATCAAGTATGCACCCTTGTGATATTTGTTTTCACACACACACACACACACACACACACACACACACATAATACGCATGCTCCCAATAACATGTGATGTCCCTCCAGGGACTCAGCTTTCTTGCATTAGGGTAGAAATTCCCAGTAACAATTGTGGCCTATACTAATTAAGTTGATACCCAAATAGTAAATTCAAACTATTATCTTTTAATATGTTCATCACTACCCTCCCTTAATGTAGAGTAAAATAGTTGCTGATTGTAAGACATTAAGAAATACATAAAATTTGAGTACATAGCAACATTTAAAAGAGATAGGCACCTTAATATAAACTGTGGTATTATGCTAACAGTAATTGGAATTTATCTCTGGTTAGAATTTTTCTTATTTCACAAATTAATTATTTCACAAAATATTTTTATTTTAAATCCTCTTCTCTGGCTTCTTAC